AATATGTCTTAGAAGGCAAAAAAAGTTGTTGTTGGAATAAAAAATAAACAGGTTCTTTCACAGACCTGAGAGGCTAATATAGCTATATCTTTTTGATTATTCTGTGATTTTAACACAAACTTTGTTTGAGCAATTTAAAAGGAAACAAGGCTCACAGAAGTTTTAAGAGACTTACCTAAAACAGAAAATGTCAAATCTATGTTGAAACACAAATCTTCTGACCCAGTCTAGAACCCTTCCTATTATTCCACATTGCCCATCAGTCTCACATACTTGGTTTCTTAAAAAGTAGAAGTCACCATACTTTAAGATAGATTGATAAAAATAACTTTTGAAGTTAATATCCTGCCTATTTCTGAACTATCTTCATTGCCCTCTACCTTCTTTGCAAGCATATGGTACCCTGTTGAATTCTTAGCCTATTAAGGAAGGGAGGTATGGAAAAGATATTATATTGACCGACTTACACAAGGTACATCTAAAAAGTGTGTGGTGTGACCATTGAAGTAAACTGTTGTAAGAGTCACAAAACAAAACCCCAAGGAGGCCAAATTTTAAACTACTTTTCTCTTTCCTCAGAGCTAGGGATGGAACCCAGGGCTTTGTTCATGATAAGCAAACACTCTACCTCTACTACTGAGATACAGCTCTAGCACCTGAATTCACTTTTCAATCTCTGGAATTCTAAGACTTTTGTCTTTCCAGCTGTGTCAAGCAGCACAGTAGAAAGGTAGACACCGGGACCATGCAAAGGAGGAAAACCTGTCCCTTTGGCTGGCTCCACCATTGACATTGCATCATATGCCACTCCAGCAAATCCCTCTCTCTAAAACACAGATGAAGAATGCCGAGCTAGAGCATATCCCTTTAAACTAAATAACAGCTTCTGCTCATAATTACAATGCTCTTATAATGTTTTGAGATGGTGATAATACAAAACTTTAAAAAAGCTCCACACAAATTGTAAAGTGAGTAGGATTAATTAAAAATTTTTGTCATGATACTAACCAAGATAAGAAATTGTGTACCATTTTCCCCATTCATAAAACCGCATGTGATATGAGTTTTAAGATCTAGATAATTACTTGGAGTATATGAATGTATTCTGAATCAGAATTTGCTTTATTCGAGTAAAGGAAATCTCTCAAAAAAATCCAAATATGCAATTACTTCAAAGAACTGAGCAATTAAAATATCATCTCACAAATCCACACTTCTATAAAATAGTTTTATTTTAATTTTTACTTTTAAATGTCTCTCTTCAAATAGATTTTATAATGATAAAGTTATGATCATGTTATTAGACCTTAGACATTTTAAAAATAATTAAAACGTATTTATTTGATAATCCTTTAAAATGACATCTGGCCAGGTATGTAAGCTCACACCTGTGTAGTCCAAGTACTTGGGAGGCTAAGGTAGGAAGATTGCCAAAAGTGAATCCCACCTTGTCTACAGAGCAGGCTTGAGGTAAACCTGAGCTGCAGCAGAGCCTTGTCTCAAAAAGCCAAACAATAGAAAATGACATTGGTTCCTAATACTAAAGACATTTTTAAAAAATTCCAAACAAACAATACATCATGAAATTGGACCTTGTAAATCTCCTTTTTAGAACTTTTTAGTTAAGCATAATTGCTAATATTTTCTTCATATTATTACATAAGATTCTCTTTTTCATAAGTTGACAAAATTGTACTTATTTTACTACACAATGTGAGGTTTTAGAGAACATCTGCATTAAAGATTGCCTACATGTAGCTCATAACCATTTAGCTCATGTGTTTATTTTCCCACTGAGAACACTAACATCCATTCTCAGGACTCGTTGAACATTGTTGTCTATTGTCATTAGCTACAGTCACCAGGTTGTACAATGGAGCTGTTTAAGTTACTCTATACAGCTGGAGGTTCTAGATATGATAAACACTTCCTTTTAAAATGATCAATATGTTTAAATTTTTAGGTTATAAGAAAATAATATTAATCATTGGATACCAGATATAATTCTTTTGTGAACCAAATTTTAGACAAACTGTAGACCTTCAGCTAGGAGTTTAATAGTTACGAAATCTTTCTTGGTGTGTATCCTGCTCTATGCTTCCTTTTTAAAAGTACATCACAAAATTTGACCATACTATTTTACTTTATATCAAATATATAGATCTATTTGATAATTATTACCTCATTCATAATGATGCAATCCTTGAAATTTAACCAAAAGATAGAAATGGCCAGCCCATTGTCATTTAAGCACTCTAGGTTTGGAGAGCTCTTCCTTATACTATATTGTAGAAGACATTCACATCAGAGACATGATATTTTTGTATTTTTTATTGTCTCTTTTGTTAATAGATCTCTTTCTTGAATGTATTTACAATGCTTCTCATTGTGAATCTTCATTAAAATCCATATAAAAATGTTCTTTTTTTATCTTGAATATAAAATCTCACAGTTCAATTCACATTGTCTGGAATATCTTTATCCTATAGGGCAGGTGTCAATTCATTTCTCCCAAAGAAGACTTAGTCTACTATTGTCAGACCTCTAATTGTTTCCAGAATGGCCTTATCTGAAACCTTTAGTGACACCGTGACCGAAGGTGTCACGTGCTTTTTACACTAATGAGCAATATTCTAGCCTACAGGAGGTTTCACAACCTCAAATTATTAAAGGATATTTAGGAATTACCTTCTAGTAAGGGTAGCTGAAAATAGAAGTTTTTAAGTTACTTCTTTTTTAGCACTTTTATTTAACATCCCCTATCAGTCAGGATCAATATTAGTGTCTTTTACAAAACCAAGGGTTGAAAATCATATTCCTACAGGAGCAATGCAGGTAATGCAAGAGTTAAGCTGTATAAATAAAGTTTGAATAGATTATCTGCCCTGGAAAACCCTTTCCCAGACCAAACAATACCAATAAATAAAACATGCCAATGATTCTCGGTCTCAGAAAACTGTGAATGCAGAGATTTCCCTTAAAAGTAGTTCATCTTCTCGCATGCGTAAATTTAAGATAAATATGAAGTACAGACTTATTCATACAAAACAGACTTATTCATAATGTTAACACAGATGAGTTTATTATTTTTAAAGAAAAAGAAAACAATGAAGACTTTGGAGGGAACAGAATATGACATGGAATGGAAAGTAAGAGTTTACAGAGATGGAACTGGCTGTCACATGAAGTCAAGGGCTTTAACTTAACTAATAACAAAAAACATATCCACCTTTTCCATGACAATTAGCTAACAATAGCCTTTATTTGTTAGGTGATAAATGGCAACATAATATAAAATGGATATTTATGGAGGATATAGAAAATGCTTTTATAAACAAGTAAGAGATCTTACTATAAAAATTGGACAACATTCCAGTAGCATCTTGCCCTCCCCAAGTACTTCAAAATCCTAATAAATCTGTAAAATATTTAAACCATAATATCATTTAGATTTATGGAATTTTAGGGGTTTTAACAGAATTGGAAAACTCAACTTATTCAGTAGCCAATAACTGATAAAAATGAAACTATATACAATGCTGAAATAAGTTATTCTGTCATCTTGTCATTCATTCAACTTTAAAATGGAAAAGAGATAGGGCCCTTTCATGCTGAAACACAGGACAAAGAGGTGAGAACATAGACAAGGGCTTTCGAGCCTGTCTTCAAGGTAGCTTGGGATCCAAGCTTTGATCTCCTCAGATACTATTTTGAATGGCACTCAGCTGTAGGCATGTGTCACATTTGGGCACAGTCACATTCCACCAGAATACACATGAAGATGTTGAGCTTCAATGACCCTGTCATATCTTTTCCTGGGACTGTATAACATGCCGTACTACATCAGATTAGTTTTGACCAAATTTCTGCAGAGAGTGCTGGATGAATAGCACTAACTTTACTAATAAAGGGCTAGTTTTATTTAGCTCCTTTCAGGTAATCTGTGGGGGCAGAATTGGAGATAGGTGAGCTTAAGTGATCACACAAAAGCTCACTGTTACCTTTCCCAGAGAGATGTCCTGGGGCTTTTGTTGAAATCCATTATCTTTTTATTTTATTTTATTTATTATTTTTATTATTTTATGTGTGTGAGATTTGGTCTTTTTGTGTGTGTGTGTGTGTGTGTGTGTGTGTGTGTGTGTGTATGTGTGTGTGTGTAGTGATGTATGTGTGTGTGAGGGCAACAGAGGACAACTTTGGGTGTCTGTCCCTACCTTCCACCTTGTTTGAGGCAGACTCTCACATTGTGTATGTCAGGCTAGCTGGCTGGAGAGTGTCTGGGGTTCTGTCTCTGACCAATGTTTGTAGCCACATGGTTCGTAGCCACCATGTGGTTGCTGGGAATTGAACCCAGGTCCTCTGCAAGAGCAGTCAGTGCTCTTAACTGGTGAGCCATCTCTCCAGCCCCGAAATCCATAATCTTATATTAATGTGCTGACCATCAATTTGTGATGAGAGCACTCCCATAACTATCTATTGTTGCACTTGAACGAACAACATATTCATTATAACTGATTCATTTTTGTTAACCTTTGAGTTACAATTCTATACATGGGGGATAGCACCCCATGTGGCATTCAGTTTCATTTACCTTCTGAACACTGAGGAATGTCACAGACTTCGTAGCGTACCTCTGGATTGCTTGTGAAACACCAAGGTCCCCCTTCTTCCCCTCGAGGATTTCGACAGTAGTTTTCCTGTAGGTCTTTACCCCGATAGCTCGAAGGCAAAAAGCTAGTTTTAAAATGATAATCATTACAGTATAAGCGCATGCAACTTTACCATTGGCCTATGAATTACACTAATTACTGTACATGCTTTTCCTGAAAGTGGAGACACTCTAGGCTATCTCATAGGACATCATACATTTTGACTTAAATTTTGTCATCCCCAATGTTTTTAAAATACTTGAATTTATTAAAATTTATCTAAATGAACTTTTATGTTCTACCTCAAGTCAATAATTACTAACCTCTAGACTTCCTTAAAGCCAAATACTCTGGAATATAAAATTTCGACACTTTAATCAATGCTAACAAATGCTCAGATCACTTAGGCGAAACTGTGCCATCACCATAGTGTGCCTCCGGACCTCAGTGTTACACTGCTTAGCCAAGGTCATTACCTACTCTTGTATTGTTTTCCTTAATAAAAAAAGCCCCTCCCCTTTGTTTCTTTATAGTCAAGGAAAAGATTGAAGGCATAACATGAACCACGAATCCAGAATAAAATTAATCCCATATCCCACTTTCATCTCTTTCTTGAAGCAACTGTGAGACCCCAGAAAGGAATTTAACATTTCCCAGATTGTGAGCTCACTTATACACTAAGTATAACCAGAGCTTGTAGCAACTTAGGTCTTATATGGTTGTTTTGAGAAGTTTAAGAGATGATGGGTAATCAACACTTGACATATGCTACCTGGGATTAAGCACACTCTATTTCTTTGTCATAACAAGGAGTTGAATGCCTCATTCTATTCAAAATTACAATAGAACGATCATGGCTGTTCTCAATTTTACTCCATAAGAGTCCAACATTGGGTGCAGTGACTTTGAGTCACTGCCTTCACCTAAGACTTCTAATGATATATTGTCAGTTTGTGCCCCACATAATGTATCCTACAGCAAGAGGAAAGGCCAAAGCCCTTTTTATTATTGCATTGGTTATAGTATTGGATCCAATAACGCATGTTCATCTCCCAGAATGTATACCAAACAACTATATACCTCGGTAGGTGACATCACTGAAAATGTTTAGAAGGTACGTTTTCAGTACTTAATTATTACTTAAGGAGTTTTATTTCTATTTTTATCTCAGAGTTCTGCATAAACATAAAGTTCAAAGATCTGAATATCTCAGTAAATATGGTAGAAATGTATTTTTGATGGCATGAAATTTCTAATTGGGAAATAGATATGCTAATTATCTTGAGTTGGTCAAACACATGAATCAAAACAGCACACTCCACCTCATAAATATGTACAGGCATTATGTACTAGTCACAAAAGAATATGAAAAAAAATTACAAAATGTTACTCCACAAAATGAACACAGCATATATTGGGTTCCAAGCAACATTTTGCAATGGAATACTTTCATTTGAATATGAAGGTACGCTAGAGCCAGGTCTCCAGAAAATATAAATCAGCAGTCAAAAATAGAGTTTATGCTGAGGAAAATGTTTTGTTAAGCATGTACAAAGAAACAAAATAATATTGTAAGAATTAAGCAATTCTAAAATGTCTTTTCAATAAAGTGTTTATATCCTTACTTCACTAACATTTAAAGCTGGGGAAATAGAAATAAAGTATTAAGTCACATGAATGACATTGTTTTATGCAATGCATAAAATAATCGATTTTCAAAAAGGAAGTCATTTGATTTTTCTTAGTTGTGGCCCCATGATTCTAGAATAATTTTGGATCTGTGTCTACTGTCTCTAACAGTCTAAAATTTATTTTCTATTTTTTAGCACTTCTCCAAATGTTCATAGTAAATTTATATCAAAATACTTTCACAACAGAAATAAAACTGACCTTTGCTTTATATATTTGATTAGAGTAAGTAATACACTAATCAAATTTACTTAAGAAAATTCTACTGCAACTCTATTATGCAAAAAGTAGAGGTGGTCATTCATTTCAAAACCTACATTGTCACCTAATAATAGGGCTTAAGTTCCTTAGACCTTTTATTTAATTCATTATAGGTTTTACACGTAAAAGGACAAATAGTATTAAATGAGTTTGGGGTATTATGTTTTCTTGAGAAACTAGTGATTTGAGCAAATGCTCAACATACACATATTCAATGTCTATATTTGCTCATTGTTTCAAATAGATAGGAGAGAGGGGAGAGGGTTTCCGGGATAAAATAGAATAAAAGCTGTGAAGAAGCAGAGTTTTCTCAGAAGAAAGAAACAGAGAGAGAGAGGAGGAGGAGGAAGGAAGGAGAAAGAAAGAAAGAAAGAAAGAAAGAAAGAAAGAAAGAA